AAGAAAAAATGGATTTCGTGCAGGGAAATCGTGCACTGCGAAATACCAAACTTCGCGTATACAGAGCAATTGTAGAACCAATTACCACATATGGTGCCGAATGTTGGACGATGACAAAGAATGAACGAGATAAAGTAGACGTTGTGGAAATGGATTATCTTAGAAGGTCATGTCGAGTATCGAGAATGGAAAGAATCAGGAATGAGGAAATACAAAACCGTACAGAAATTAGAGATATTCTTTCAGATAGAATACAAGGAAGGCAATTACAATGGTATGGTCACGTGATGAGAATGGAGGAGGAGCGGTGGCCAAAGAAAGCCTTAATGTATGTTCCGCCAGAAAGAAGGAAAAGGGGAAGACCACCAAATTCCTGGAGAAGAGAAATTACAAAAACAATGCAATCTAGAGGCTTAGAAGAGGGAGATTGGGGAGATAGGAAAAGATGGAGGCTGAAATGCGGGAAGCGGCAATCGCCGTAAAACCCCCGTTATATGATGATGATGAAATCGTGCACTGATGGTATAGGTACTCGTTCTGCAGCAGTTAATCGAAAAACGAAAGGCAAGAAATCTATATACCCACCTATTGTTTGTAGATTTAGAGAAGGTAAACGATACGGTATCTACCTCTGAAAAAACTGTTTCAAACATTGACGAAAGTAGGTCTCAGTAGAGAGTATGGGAATGCTATCGCAAATATATACAAAAATGCATATATATATATATATATATATATATATATATATATATAAACTTTGAAAATAAGGCTATTATCGAGCACAAGTTGTGCTCGATAATAGCCTTATTTTCAATGTAGCCTTATTTTCAAAGTTCATTTATTCGAGCATTCAACCTCATTTCATTCATATATATATATATATATATATATATATATATATATATATATTATATATATATATATATATATATATAAGCGAGGTTCCTACAGCCTCTCCCGCCTCTCGCATTTCGACCGCCATCGTTCTCAGTCCATCCATTCGTCTTATATATATATATATATATATATATATATATATATATATATATATATATATATATATATGTTTAATTCTTTCAAAATCTTGTTTATCTACCCAAACAAATTCTACATATTTGCAAATACTTTTTATCATTGGGAATTTCCATACTTAGAGTAACATTAATCTTTATCTGGTTTCAAACCTTCTTTATTAAAAATGTCAACCACAAACCTTAGTTCATTTAAACCAAATCTTCATTTGTTTCGGGTAAATCTCACAGTTGCACTCTTTGCTTTTTCTAGCACAAGTTTTTCAAGATGATATTATAGTATGGGATGCAAATGTAGCTGAACATAAAAGCCGGTAGAGTGTAGGCGCAAAATTTAGGGCCAATGCTTTTTAAATGCATTCATTTTTTTTTCGAATCTTGAGAAAACTAATAAGTATTTTTGATAATTTTAAACCCAGATGAAAAATTACATTAGTACCGAGGACCGAAAGTCCCTGAAAACTTCTATAATGTTTATTTTAGTAAGTTACAGGGGCGAAAAAACAAGAGAAAATTAAGTGTGATTTTTAATTTCAAATATCTCATCCGAAAGAAATTTTTGCTTTCCCTACTTGCGATTTGTTTAAATGTAGGCAATTGACAACGTTCTCTTACAATTTCTTTGTTGACATTTTGGGGATCTAAACAAATTCTTAATGAGTCTGGCTTCTTTATCACCACATTGAACTAACGCTGTTTTTGGTCCTAACTTTCTTTATTACAATAATTCTTTACATTTTATCCAGCTCACTATTTATATTTTTTTCAATTTTCAATATAAATTAGTATTCTTCGACAAGATTCTACTATCGGTACAGCATATTCTTTCAACTTTATTTTGTACACACACAATTTTCTTTAAAATTTGTAAACTTTCTATATTCGGTAAACTTAGTACACAGGGAACATTAAAATCAATCACTTCATTGTGAAAGGTTTTACTACTGCTTTCAATATTTTAACTGTCCTTTTGTCAATAATGTTTAGTGTATACAACTCTTCCTGGCCTACAGCACAAATGTTACGTGTTTCTATGTTAACCAAACCAACAAAAAAAAATGTTTAATATTTCTTTCATCATCTTGTGTTTCATTTATTTTATGTACGTTTTTGCATTTTCTACACATCTTAACAAAATGCTCCTAATACTTACAAGTTGTACATTGTTTTCTATAAGCTGGACATCTATTTGGCATATGAAATTTAGCACATTTATTACAACATGATTGCTGTTTATTGCTTTGTATGTCTTCATGTGGTTTGTTTTCAAATTCAGTACTGAACTTAAAGTAAACTTTTTTTATTATTCACAGCTTGTACCATGGCCTCTGGTTACGGAATTGTTTGGTTTGCATTTCTGCCAATTATGTAGCCTGACATATTTCTTGACAACTATTTAGCGTCAGCGTGCGTTCTCTTGGTAGTCTCTCTCGTAATTTCGAGTCTTGCACTCCACAGACCTTTTAACTCTGATCACTGATCTTTTAAAGTACTAAAATTGCAACCTTTTGCGAGATTTTTTAAATCTGTAACAAACGGATCAATACTTTCACCTTGTTTTTGACTTCTGCAGTTAAATATGTACCTCAGAACAATTTTCTCAGAACAATATCGTAAGTTGATAAATAATTTTTCGTTAACGGTAACTCCCGCTTCGATATTATTGAGCGTGTCTGGGAAAATTTCTTCAGAATATAAGTTAAACAAAAGTGGCGATAAAACACATCCCTAATTTCTCTGCAGATCTTCATTTCTTCTGAGTGTTGCCCATCAATTTGAACTATGGCACTTTGATTCCAATATAATGTGTGGACTATATTTATGATTTTACTGTCAATGCGCTTGTTCATAAGTATTAATGTTAGTTTTTTTATCTCTTACTTTATCGAAAGCTTTTTTGTAGTCAACGAAGCACAAGTGTAGATCAACGTTTACATCCCGACATCATTGAATCAATATGTTGATGGCAAATAGTCCTTCTCGAGTACCCATTCCAATTCGGAACTCGAACTGCGTCTCGCTAATATCCTCCTCTAGCCTTTCGTATATTCTCTTATGTATTACTTTTAGCAGTACTTTTAATGCATGACTCATGAGGCTGAGTGTTCGATAATCAGAACACTCTTTTGCTGCTTGTTTTTTAGGATTGGTTATAAATGCTGACTGCAGGCACTCTTATGGTATTATTCCCTTATCGTACACCGTGTTGAATAAATCTTCCAATACTTCCAAGTTATCCTCTTCCAATAACTAGTTTTAAAAGTTCTACTCGTATTTCATCCAATCCAGCTGCCTTATTATCTTTATAGTTTTTGATAGCATATTTAATTTCATCTATTGTGATCTTCTGTCTCTCTAAAGGATTTAATTCTTGTATTTTCTGCATCTTGTATTTTCTGATTATTATCTGGTAATAAGCTTACCGGCCGATAATTCCGTGGATATGTGACATTTTCCCCTGGTTTTTCGATCATTATTAGGTGAGCTTCCTCTCATCTTTCAGGAAAATGTCTTAATCTTATGATGTGGTTGATTATATGTATACTATTGCTTTTGTTGGCAGATTCTTTACTATTCTATTCGTAATATGGTCCGGTCCTGGAGCTTTTTTGGCGTTAGTACGCTTGATCAGCTGTCTGACTTCTTCAGGGGATGTATGGGTAATATCTATGTATATATTCTTTATATTGTATGTATATTAGGGTTTCTATTTAAATAAAGATCTATCTATCTATCTATCTATCTATCTATCTATCTATCTATCTATGTTGCTCCTTCTTTTTATTGCCCTATATCTTCTTTCCACTTCTTCTGTAAAGTCGAGATCTTCATCGAAATGATAATTTTTCCTACATCCTCTTTCTAGCGTATTTTTCATACCTTTTGCTTTTGTCTTCTTCTACGTACACAATTTCATTTTCTCCATGTAAGGGTGGAATTGGTACTTTTTTTTTTAGTATTTTAGATAAATTGCAGAACGCATATTTATTTGGGTTTAGTGGCTGGATATAGTTGTTTCAATTTTCATTTCGATGTTCTTCTATTAATTGTTTTTTGACTTCCGTATTTAGCTCATTAGCAATTCTTTTGTCATCTTGTTTTCTTGTAGTCTTGGCCCCTCTTCCTTTCCTGGTTTTTCGTTTGTTAGTTCTTTTAGCTCATTGCTGATTTCTTTGAACTTTCCCATAACTGTTGGTGTTTTCTGTGGTTCTGGCCTCGATAGCATTTTGTATCGATTTTCTAGGTTTAGAATTCCTCTAGTTCTTGTTTTGTGTTAATTGTTGTTATTGTATTGATAGTTTTGCTTACTATTTTTTGTATTGTGGCCAACTTGTTCATTTTTTCTTGTAGGTTTCATTTTGAGAGTCAATACAACTAGGTTGTGATTTGATTCACCCTTGTTCATTGAGTGTGTTGTGGTGTTGACCCACGTTGTGTAGAATTGCTATGTCAAGGAATGTAGGGAGTCTGTCTCCACCATAAAAGTATGTATGTTCTGTGGCTCCTACAACTATGGTGTTTGAATTCCAGCCAAAAAAATTCACTATAACAAAACAGGTTAACATTTTGACAAAAGGTTTTTTTCCAGAATGCGACAAATGAAAACTATATTGAAATAAGAAAACGAAAGTTTTTTGTAAATAGGAAACAGCAGAAAATCTTAAATTGTATTGACAAGAAGCAATAAAAGAAGATGACAAAATTATATGTATATTAACGATAAGACAGTTGAAGAATGGTACTAACTCTGAAATAATTTATTTTTGCAATTATTACATAACATTTAGTATGAATATGAACTATCAAAAAAAAAACCAAAACCCTTATCTCTCCAACAACATCCAATTCGTCAAACTCGAATCTTATCAGCTCCCCAACTAATCAAGCGCCTATTTAACTCCCACTTAAACACAAAGCACAAGAAAATATTTCGTGTTTATTTTAAACCAGCACCAGATACACGACAATTACAGAAGCTACGGACACAGAAGATACCGGCATCCGGTGATATCGAAAGTGTTTTAACAGAATTTAGATAAATATGTTGTACAAACTGGTGGTGGGCGCATCGGCCTTGATGGCCCTTTCACTTCTGAGTATAGAAGCCGCCCAGCTGCAAGGAGTTGCAAGAAATAATTCCAGAAGAGGTATCTGTACCTTGGAAGTTCCGTAAGTATAACATTTTCTATTTTCTATAGAATGTATGTGTAAACAGTTTCTATTAGTACGTAAGTAGTTCTTGAATTAAAAATCGTTCAGTTTTTACATTTACTGCTATTTAACTATAGAAACAATTACTTTTTATATTGTTTTCATTACAAAGTTTATAATCTTATATCGGTTTCACTACATCGTTTTGAGGGTCAAGGTGATGTTAAGGTTAGATGGTAGAGGTATTTAGTTACCACTTATTTTAAGAAAGTGTTTTCTTGATAATAGTTTTTTTTGGTAAACATGTTTTATATAAAAAATGTCGCAAGGTTATCAGAAATTATTACTGTGATAGTGTCTTAGAATATTGTTGTTTCTGTTAATTCCATAACGTATTTGTGCAGTTTTTTCTTTAATTGAAGCTGTTAATATTTTAATTATTTCTGATTTAATTGATATTTCCCTGGAGTTCTGCATTTTTTAATTGAGATCATATTTTGTTCGCTGGTTTTTTATACTTTTCTAAATTATTTGCAGACTACTTGATCTTGCCATTTAGTTTAACAAAGTTTTATAAAGATGCCTCTGCAGAAAAAACAGTAGTTCTATGACAAAGTCGATCGCAAAAGTATTTTACCTCTTTTAATTAAATCTATTTTCTCTCTCTTTCTTTTCTAATTTTACTTCTTTTTTTTTTCATCCCTATTTTTTGTTTCTCTATTGTCTTCCGGATCACTGGTTATACCGTAAACTTCTGTTAAAAAAGATGCTTATCTAAGGAAATGAAATACTCCGCCATCTATAAAAGAGATCATCGTCAAACTCTTTTTTTCTGTTGATCGTTCTTCTTCTTAGAGTGCCCTCTCCCTACGGAGGTTGGCAATCATAATGGCTATTAATATTTTAGAACTTGCTGCTCTAAACAAATCAATCGATCTGCATTGGTACCAATCACGTAGATTCTTTAACCATGAGTTCTGCCTTCGGCCAACAGATCTTCTTCCTGGAATCTTTCCCTGTATTATGAGTCTCAAATTTTCATATTTTGGTCTCCTTATCACGTGGTCAAGGTATTCCAGTTTTTTGTTTTTAATATTCTGCAGTATAACCAGAGTTCTAAAGCCTCGATTCTTTTTAAATTGCACTTTTTTAATGTCCAAGTCTCAGCTCCATATAATAATATTAAAAATATATAACCGCAAATGGTACGTAGTCTGATCTCCAAATTTAGATTTTTGCACGTTATTAGTGGCTTCATTCGTATAACTGCTGATGAGGGCAATCTCTCTGCCTGGTTATTTCTGCAGTATGATCATTGGTTTTAATGATCAAAGTTCTTAAGTACTGATATTTTTCTACTTGTTCTATCACGTTACCATTGATTGTCAATAGGTGATGTATATTTTGTGGTCTTTTTGTAATTAACATGTACTTCGTTTTTTTAGCGTTTATGGTAATTCCCATCTCAGCACTATTCATAATCAAGTTTTCGATAAGATGTTGTAGATCCTCTATACTCGTTGCTATGATCACATTGTCGTCTGCATATCTTAAGTTATTGATTAATTTTCTGTTAACGGTGACTCCCACTTCAATATTATTGAGCGTGTTTTGGAAAATTTCTTCAGAATATAAGTTAAACAAAAGTGGCGATAAAACAGATCCCTGTCTAACTCCTCTACAGATCTTCATTTCTTATCTCTCTCTGTTGATCTGTTCTCTATTGATCGTTAGTATATATTTATTACCCATTTTCTTATGTTTCTTTTCTTCCACTTTTTTATTTGTTTTTTAACAAAACTAACTTCTTTGTTATATCTACTCTAAATTTGATCTCCCCCAGAGACCCTTAAAACATTAAATATTGCCTTGAAATATCCTGGGATATCGTAAGCTCTACAGAAGTGCCTGAAATATTCCGCGAAACTCCCGAACCTGTTCAATTTTTTCTGAAGGCCCCTAGATGCACCTGAATAATTCCAGACTACCAATAAAACTCTTCAGAGCCCCTTATAACTCGAGTTCAAGTGCTTCTCAGTTTTTTAAATGTCTTGAAACAACAATTCTAGAAACTTTCCTTAAATCTCTCTTCCTCTTGTAGTACCCTATCCTCATTGGAATTTGGCAATCACTCTAGCTCACAAAACTTCATTCACTAAATAATTCCAGTGAAGTTTTTCCGAACTACTGTATCAAGTTCTTAAGCCACAAATTACATCGTGTACCTAGTCCACTTGTTCTTTTAATTATGTGAACGATATATGACATTATTTTTCTTTATTTTATGGTTAAAATAATGGTTGTTGGAGATTATTCCATGCAAGACAGCTAACAGTATCTGCTCTATTAAATGTTTAGCGTTTAAAAGTAAAATGGTGTCATCAGCATACCTAAAATTGTTTAAGCAAATGCTATAATTGATATTTCATTTTCAATATCCTTTTAGGGTTCAGGGTTCTTCAAAGAGATGCTCAGAGTAAATGCTAAATTTCGTCACCGGCAAAACACATCCCTGCTATGCTTAATTGCCCAGACTACTTGTTTTCCACTTTGACTTTACTTTTTCTATTGTTCATATAAGTTGGCTACAATTCTAAGATTATGCTATAGTATTCCCGTTGTTCTTAAGATATAGCTGACTTTTTCGTGATTTACTCTGTCAAATGCCTTTCCAAAGTCCAAGAAGCGAGCTGAAACGTTCCTGTTCACATTCAAGCTCTTGGAATCATTACTTCCATCCTTAAAAGTGCCTATTTTGTATCAAGGCCGTTTCTGTTTTAAGATGCTGTTCTAAAATTCGGTAAGTTCTTGCATGGATAATATAGAATAATTTCTTTAACTCATTCGCTGCGTGTACCTGCACCTCAACTCACACCTACTGCGTTTTGATTACTGGCTAAGTAAATTCGAACGGAGCTCTGACGCCAAATGGCGGCGTGCGCACTAGGCATCAGATCATAGCGCCGCCAAATGGCGTCATACGCAAAGAATGGGTTAACAACCAACTCATTAAACTTATGGTTTTGTAGTCCTTATATCTCTTTGATTGTTGTTTTCCTAGGTAAAGGTATAAAAAATATAAAAGTAAGACAGTCGTCAGGCAATTACCCATTTTGGTATATAGCGTCAAAAAGTCATTTCGAAGGATCTATATAGTCTTCCTCCAGAAGCCTTAAAATATCCTTGCGTATTTGATTTAGACCAAGAGATTTTGCTTTCATTCATTGAATAGCATACTTTACTTTACTTTATCTGATATGTAGACCCTTGCCTTCTATTATTTATTCTCAATTTACTAGCAGCCGTCAATTTTCGCATATTTCTTATATATTGCGTTTTCTTGACTGTCATGCCATTTTTTCGCTGTATTATTAACTATCCTTCTATCACAATTTTACAGTTATTATCTTAGTCCAACCCCCTTCCTAGTCACATTTTAACCCCACTTCATTACAAATACAGACAGTTTTAAAATAGCAAAGAAGAAAGACTCTCTCTTGATTTGACCGCCGCTAGGGCCAGTCGGGCTCTCTTTTTTAATTGTCGACTACCGCTAGGGACAGTCACTCTCTCTCTCTCTCTCTCTCTCTCTCTCTTCGCTTATCAAGAAGAACAGCATCTCTCTTGGCTGTTTTCTATCGCCAATTATCTCTCTCCCGCTTTAGTTACTCGAAAAATACCGCATATACTATTTTAAATCGTGTACAGACGCAAAGTGTGCTCTATATCGTGATCATAGTGCGAAACACATGTTTAGCCCGGTATCCGGACATATTCCGCATAAGAAGAAAAGCCGCGAGTGTGTGGAACAAAAAAATATTGGTAAGGCTTTGTATAAACTTAATTTGCTATTGTCTGTATACCCTTTACTACATCTCCTAATTTATTTTAACCAGCCCTATATAATACAGTCCATATACACTGAAATTATACTCATAATTTCCCACATATGTACACCCTTTTTGTACATCATTCTTAAAGAGCCGGCGCTTCTTTAACCTTCTTATGAAAGTTATCTATATCTACACATATTTTCGGCAGCCATACTTCTTTCACTTTTACCATTAATCTTCTTCGTTATTATTTTATGTACTTTTCTATATTCTGTCCCATTTCTATTCATATGCTGTCTTTGCTGATTAATCAGTTGTAAAATTTCATCAGTCATAAATGGGTTGTCGTTGTTTTTATTAACTGTTCTCGCTTACAAATGGTTTTTCGTTATTGCGGTAATCATTTTTCATTTTTAAACACATTCTATCTACTCCAAACATGGTTTCTCCTGCAATATCAATGAAAGCATTATTAAGTTAGATTTTACTTTTTCTCCTTTTCCGCTTCCAAATAAGTTTTCACGGATCTATTTAATTTTCGCTCCACATCCTTATTGGTAGCCGGTGACCACCATTTATACAACCTCCTAGGTGGCAGTTTGAAATAGGTTTTCATGATTGGAAGTTGCGTATGGTATTTCCGGGTAGAATTTGTACTAACATATCACCCCTCTCGTTTCGACGCCCAAAGCCAAAGCCTCCAACTTGTTCTTACTGATTCCCGATCTTCAAATTAAAATCCCATATAAAATGTCATTTCATGTTTTTTTTGTATTTTTAAGGGCTAGCCTCATGTCTGTTCAAAATTTTTCTGTATTTCTGTTCGCTATTTGAGGTGGGAGCGTATACTTGTACGATGTTTACAATGACAGTTTATGTTAGCATTCATGTTTAGTATAGTTGCAATCTGATGAATTGTCGATCTGACCTCTGAAACTAGCCAGAAATTTACTATTATTCGTTCTGCATATGATGCCTGCCATACGGTGGCACAGTATTGTGGAAAATATTTTATACTCTGCATATAAAAGCTTAGTTCTTCTGTGATTAGAGCATTAAAAGATATCTCCTTTTTTGTATATGGTGCAAAATATTCCAAAATTCCAATCACTGTGTAGGGATTTTTGTATCTATATTTTTTTTATGAGCTGCTGTAGCTCATTTAGGTTTCCTTTCTCTTCCCCT